TGGGCAGGCGTACTGCTGTAAGTCCTACTCGATCTTCCGGTGTGGATTAGGGGATGAGAGTGAACCTAACCTGAAGTGTCAGAAGGCGATTTTCTTTTGCATGGAGGGATTTTGCGGGCCGGTGTAGAATCATTTTTGAATGTTTTGTTTGCTGGAAAATCCCTCCATGTATACATATTTGTGTTATGATATGACTGACTCTTTCTGTTGACATTTTGGTATTATATTTGATTCCCTTTTGAGATTTGATCATTCTGAAACTTGTATTGATACAGATATGGTAAATTTGGTTCTGAGTAGTGTTTTCCAGTGAAATCCATGTGGCTTTGTGTATGCGTTTGTGCGGTCATACTGTGCCACCGATCATAGGTTTTCAAATCCCTCACCGTTTTCGTACCACTCTGCAATTCAAGGTCGTCCCATGATGTATTTGTAGAAACTTTTTTGAATGGTTTGTTTTTTTGAAAATCCCTCCATGTATATATATTTGTGTTATGATATGACTGACTATTTCTGTTGACATTTTGGTATTATATTTGATTCCATTTTGAGATTTTATCATTGTATATAGTTATTATTTCTATATTTTGTACTTATATTGAAGTTTTTATGTTACCTTCTGAACTGTACATATGTTGTTTAAAATTGATACTTAATATGGCTACAGCCATATTTGTATTTGATACCGTTGCAGTTAGAACTAGTAACACTTATTCTTTTGGAATCGGATACGCATCAGGGTAATTTGGACTTGGAAGGTGTATTAATAACCGCTTTCTCCTAGAATTATTGTGTTTTGATATTGGACTGGGGGATAGCGCGTTCAACCTACACCTAATGGAAACAAAGTGAACTGCTAAGGTAGAAAATTCATCTATTGTCTTAGTATTAGGAAGAGCAAGGAAACATTTGGAATTTTCATCGATTACGATATTAAACTTCCTGGAAGAAGAACTTTGGATTACTTGTCTTTTTTTGATCAAACTGTATTTTGGAAAGTGATCTTCTGATCTTTCTGTATTTTTATTGACGAAGATTTACCGGTGAAAACCTTATATTTCGTATTTGTTATTTATTTCCCATTGAATTTCAATTAATTATGAGCTCTCGATAGAAAACAAACACGAAGAGGGTGGAAGCGCATGAAGAATCTCAAAATGCGAAGCAATTCGTTTACGATGCTTCATATTTAATGGGTACTCTCACCAACAGAAATGTTGTTATGTTTCATACTTATTATTGTAATTCACCCATAGAAGGCACTAAGGAACAAGATATGGACGAGAACTCTAAGGTACCTGGGAAAGAATTGTTGTTAAGGACACCGGTAGTAGGCTTCAAATTGCCAAAGGTTGAACTCCTATTCTTCGACGGCAAACACTGACATTACTTTAGGTTCTTAAGACAGTTTGAGACGTTTATAGAACCCAGAGTAAGGGATGAGATTCTACGTTTATTATATTAGATTCATCAATGTAAAGGAAAAGCAAGAAATGCGATTGAAGGTTGCCTTATAATGGAACCACAAGTGGGATACAAATGAGCTAAAGCTATTTTAAAGCAGCTCTTTGGACAATCGCATGTGATAGCCCGTGAAACTCTGGGGGACTTGTTTAGAACTGGGAATGTGGACTACAATGACCCAAAAAAATTGACAGAATTAGCAATTAAAATGCAAAACGTTGCTCTTACTATGGAACAGTTAATCTGTATGCATTGAGTTTTAAGATATCTGTAATAAACTTCTGTGAGTTTGTCTACCTCATGATTCAGTTGTCTTTGAGATTCAGCGACCAGTAAGTGGTTAGCTGAATATATATCAGCTCCTCTACAGGTTCTCATATCCTTAATTGTCTTTCTGAAACTTGTATTGATACAGATATGGTAAATTTGGTTCTGAGTAGTGTTTTCCAGTGAAATCCATGTGGCTTTGTGTATGCGTTTGTGCGGTCATACTGTGCCACCGATCATAGGTTTTCAAATCCCTCACCGTTTTCGTACCACTCTGCAATTCAAGGTCGTCCCATGATGTATTTGTAGAAACTTTTTTGAATGGTTTGTTTTTTTTGAAAATCCCTCCATGTATATATATTTGTGTTATGATATGACTGACTATTTCTGTTGACATTTTGGTATTATATTTGATTCCATTTTGAGATTTTATCATTGTATATAGTTATTATTTCTATATTTTGTACTTATATTGAAGTTTTTATGTTTCCTTCTGAACTGTACATATGTTGTTTAAAATTGATACTTAATATGGCTACAGCCATATTTGTATTTGATACCGTTGCAGTTAGAACTAGTAACACTTATTCTTTTGGAATCGGATACGCATCAGGGTAATTTGGACTTGGAAGGTGTATTAATAACCGCTTTCTCCTAGAATTATTGTGTTTTGATATTGGACTGGGGGATAGCGCGTTCAACCTACACCTAATGGAAACAAAATTAACTGCTACAGTATTCATATCCGATGTTGTCCATGCCAACTTGTGCATTTAGGTCTGTCATCAGAATAGTCAAACGGTGAGCATTTCTCGATGATTGATGATGATTTCTTATTCATACAATTGATCTACATCGTCGTCATTGTAGTCATTGTTAGGTGCATAGGATGACGTTAATTGTAATGTCCTCTTTCTTTGTTTTGGTGGATGCTTTATTGATCTTGTGTCCATGAGATTTCCATCATATCAGTACCTTTTGTGTTTGTTTGAACAGCATCAGTGCAACTCTTTGTGTATGCAAAGCATTTTCCTTTTCATGATAAGATTATAGCAATTTACTTGAAGCTGATCATAATTATCCTACCTGTGTCCAATGCGTTCCACCGATGCCAAGCAGCTCGACGTTGTTTTTTTTATTTCTACCGCGACTTGAAATAATCTGCCAAACTCTTGCGATGTAAAAACACTCTATGTACCTTAAAGAAGGGCTGTTCTGGTTGTCAGAAAAAGCATCGGCTCCGTGACTTCCGAGGAAACTCGGCTTTGATCACGCGACGTCATACTACTTCTTCTAACTCTCAGGTCACAGTTGAGACCAGTAGTAATTCCGAAGGGTCTGCAGGGAAGTTATCTGAAGACAAGTATATAGAACACACGTAATAAACAAACGAAGCATATAACGGATAAGTTAATGAAAATAGTTACGCAATAATTAATGGTATTGATTTTCAATAAAATGTCGCGATACAGAAATTACTGTGGATGTTGGATCCCCATGACTCGCTCTATAAATATGTTTATTTCGGATTTGTTTCATGGACCGATCACTCGACTTTGAGATCGTGGCATCTCATCATTCATTCATTGTATATTCGTTTGAATTAATCGATAACTTCCATAATTTTTTATTTGGATATATATATATATATAAACATATATATATATATATATATATATATATATATATATATATATATATAGAATAAAATTTATACGCTCATCGAGACTTCTGCTTCGCAGTTTCGTATTCAAGGTAGCCTACCAGAGCGCTGATAATCGTCTGGTTCCAGTTTACCGACCAACGTAAACTCTTTTTGTCAGTGTCAATCAGTCCTTATCAATGATAATTGAATGATAAACATGAAATGAAAATACGAGAATAATATTCTGCAATGATAAAGAAATTCCACAGCAGTAAATTCAATGAGGACGGACATGTTTTCTTTCGAACTCTTGAGTAACAGCGTTGCGTTCCTCAATCTGGATCAAATATATTGTGGCGACAGACTTTTTTCGTCTTCTAAATTCCGTATAACTCCGTCTTGACGACAGTTACTATAGAACAGGATTCGTGGCCAAATTTCATTATTATTTAAGATATATAATGATTATTACAAATGAAGGTTATAATACAAATATATATATATATATATTGCTTTAGAATGGTTTTTGGAAATGCACTCTGTAATGTTCTATCTAATGATTAGAAAAATGACTCATGGAAGTAGGGGTTGTGGCAAGCGTTGTATTTTTTCAGTTATTGTTGCCATTTATTGTTATTTATTGTAATTGTCGGCTATGATAATTATCGAGTACTCAAACCAAGGTGAGTTATTTCATCCTCCTGCTTTGAAACAGTCACCTATAAGTCGACTTAACAACAGCGCTGGAAAAATTAAAATGTAGTCCGTTTATAGCCATTCATCATCAAATCGTTCATCTATCATTGAAACCTGTCCAAACTTTTATTGATAACTGAATATATTGTGTGTGGGTAATAATGCGAAATTCGATCAACTGATGCTTTGTCAACACTGGTTATTTGGCTTTGCTGAAGGGCCTTGAATTTAATCTCATAAACGTCTATGTAAAATGAGCAACGTCTGCAAAGCAATCATTCTTTTGGCATAGACTTGAAAAAACCCATTAACATATGCTTCGATGCTGGTTAGATACTTTGCTGCTAATAAATCGAGTTTGATTTTTAAACTTTCAAGAAATTTAAGACCTTGAATAATCCTCAAATTACACAGACGTTTTTGTATATCAGCTATTTATTGAGACTGATATTATTCTATTACTTAGCATATTTACTCTTGTAAACAGTAATGTCGAGCTCTTGTTTGTTGATGAGTAATATTTACCGGTTTCGCTTTTATTCAAAAGATTTCACTTTCGTTAAGTGTACGTTCTGATGACATACCCGAACACGTTACTTGTTTTAAAATGCCTGACCAGATTTCTGAAATATGAAATTTCCGGCTACCGCTAAAATTGTTGATAAGCATTTCATCCGATTCGGCTAACATATCAACATTGCGACTTTATTGACATTCCTGAGACTATAACGAATACATATGCGTAGCTATTAGATAATTTCGAATACAATTGTTAACAGGCTTAAAAGAAATCTAAAATTCGCAAGCCTATTAAATGTTTACTGCAGTACAAAAGAACAAAAAGTTATTGACTGTGTGCTAAGTTTTTTCTGAGCGGCGATAATAGGAGAGAAATTCGAAGTAATCAGTGAGTCAGTTCAACATATATATGAAAGATTACGACAGGTACGAGTCGATCGGAAATGTGGTTTCTATCATTTTGAATACGATGTTTGATCGAACTAAGAAATCGTGCAAATAAAACAACTTTTATACTCTTTACACAAGAGACAGGAATCAAACAAGTTCGCTGTTTGTCAATCGTCATTCTACTTTTTTTGAGTGATTAGATTATCAAGGCGTTATCATCTAAGTAAACAAAGAGATATGCAGTGAACGATTCGATTGTAGCTGAACGGTATGAAGTTTGCAGATTTTCTGACTGTTCTATCTCATACCTTAAATCAAATGCAGGAGTGGACCGCAGTTGCAGCGCCCTCGTCAGCAGCAGGGTGTCTCAGCAAACACAAGGACAAAAGAAAAATTCTTCGATGAGTCACAACATGCGTCAACCACATCACACCCAAAGGAGAAGATTCGGCGTGTGTAGCAACTTTCACAGATCTGAGCAGCATCATTGCTGAGCGAGATATCTCTTATATGGACGTTGATTGGTACCAAAATCATGGACAATACAATCGCGCTGTACACATTTCCATAAATGCAAAAATTAATTCATTTTTTTCATTACAAAACAGAATCTATCTCAAACTAAATAATTATACGTCCAGTTTTGAATGTTGTACAAAAATAAAGAAAAAACAGAAAGATTTGTTGATTCATTAAACGTGCACTAAATAAAAGTGATATCGAGATTCCATAACGGTCTACAACAATAATATTATGGCATTTATGTTTAAATTTATATCATTATCGAACTGAGTATTTGTTCAGCACACTGTACAAAGATTAGATCATTTTTAGCAAGATTCTTGTTTTATTATCCAAACTGAGATTCGAGCTAAGGTGTAACTCTCCAGGTATTTCGGCTGCGCGTCTCGCAGAGTGGAAATCCAGAACAAGTTATCTGGGTAAATAACGATTCTCATTTTATTTAAAAATATAGATAACTATCATTATCCAAACAATATGATCACGTTATTTCATCAATGATAGTTTACTTATTCCACTTATAATAAAAACAGAAGCTATTCTATCCCTCCTGGATGCTTCGGATTCGTTCAAGCGATAATATTTGGTTACTTTAGGACACATAATGTTTCCGATTCCGGAAAATTTCTTCAGTTCAAAATAAAACTGCACAAATCAGCAAATCAATAAGTCAGTCACCGTAGCTAAGCATCAGCTAAAACAAAATAATGCAGTTCATAAATATACAACTGAAATCAATAAAGGCAGAAGAAGTAGAAACCACATTGAAATTCAAATTTTATCATGTCAGAAATGGAATCCGTCAGAATAATCAAATTTACTGATGAAGGAATCAATAAGGACATATTAGGATGTAGGGCAATCAGAGACAAAGCCATCCAGATAGATCTTACATTCGGTTCGAAATAAGCATTGTTGATTTTGTTACAAAATTTTAAGAAATATCATAACTTATCATAACCCTAATTAGGAATAGTTCGAACCACATCATGACTGATTGATAAATGAGAAGATATTTACACGGCAATTAGAAAGCCGAAAAAGGTAACTTCTCCTTTCAAATTTCGGGTATTTGTGAAGATAAAATTAAAAATCCATTTTACTCAATTTACTTAATTGGACTGCAAATTGATCTCCGGCTTCTCAATTTTTTTGTTGGTGAACAAAGTCTAGCAGTGGTAAGGCTATTATTGTCAATAAAATGTTAATTGTTGAGAGTAGATTTTTGCACGAACAAATAAATAAACTTTAATCTGTTCCTTTACAACTTGATGCTGAAATCAGTCTACAAATTTTTGAATATTTCACAGACTATTATTTGTTATGAAGTGTGGTTCATTCTGTCAAAAAATTGTACATGACTACAATCTGTTCGAATGTATCTAGCACACAGACTAACTAAAATATTTTTTGTACATAATGTTCAACATATCATTTTACGTCGCTCTCATTGAAGTGCAAAGGTTATTGTTATATAAATGAGATTCTGCGGAAAGACGAGTTAGGATAACTGATTGGGTGAGTTTATTCAATAATAGTTATGTTTATTTTATTCTGTATCATGCGAAATAATTCCTTTCTTGCACGGTGATTGTGGAGGACAACATTATTTGTGATCTAAAAGGAGGAATAAACTAGACGTGAGCCAATATATAGTAGGTTCCCTATACCACTATTTCACTATTATTATAGCGTGGGATCGGGCTGCAAAATGGCGCACTAATAAGGGCCCACAGACTCGTTCAAATCGAATATCGGTGTCAGGCCATGTTTCTTCTGGCGATCGAATGAGTCATTAAAACTTTATAATGTGTGAGTAAGCACCTGAAACAATAAAATACTTGAATAAAGGTGAAAATGATGAAGATGTGAAGGCTCAGATCGGAAAAGCAGGAACTGAATATCTACAGCTGAACAGAATCTACAACTATAACCAATCCACAGTCAACGCTCAAACATACGTCAACACAGTTCTTCTGTATGGGATGGAAACAATAAACCCTTGAACAGAAGAATGAAGTGTTCATTAACAGTTGCCCACGCGAAATACTTCAGATCCGCTGATCAGATATCATCAGTATTACCCTACTTCAGCGTCAGAGGGAAAGCCATCATTCTTAAGCCGGAATGTCAAAAAGCAGTGATGAAGATCATACGACATATTACGCCGACAAATCGAGACAGACAAAGGGAAAAATGAACAGCGAGTATGCAAAACTAAGAACAGGGTCATAGTAGAAATTGGGCTGAAGGATGTCACTATTGCACACCATTGCAGGATATACATTCATTTCAACAATTAGTAACAGAATAATAATCGTTTACACATTTTCAAAATGTCAAAATATATAATTCTCATATCATTTCACTTGAAAATTGAAATAAATATGCTATACTATTGTTTTTGACAGGTCAGTATCACATAAATGTCTGCTGTCGCTACAACTATTCCAAGGACGTACACTTCAAAATCTACAGTGAATACGTTACCGCAATCAGATCGTCTACTTTTTGTATCCTCATATACAAGCGAAGTACTCTGTTGTTTTCATTTATGGTTTTCCGTGATTACAGGTTCTCATTCTAACTACAATACAAACAGTCATCACATTGATCATTTCAATCATTTTTTCTCAATCGTAAATTACTCAGTAAATAATAATGTTATTCTTCCAGCATCGCGGGGCAAATCGTATCTAAAACTGACACAACTGCACAAATATTGATTGCTGTTTCCTTCACGTAAGTTTTCTGCAGCCTTTCCACATTACTTTTCACCTGCTAATTAAATGAATTACAAATGAATTCCACCTAAATGACCAGTAGTCAATAGGAATAACATAAGAACTGTTTATAGTTTCCTGTGATACATTATATTCATGATGATATACCTGGATATTAAATACACTGATTTGACAAATGCAGAGAGATTGTTGTGTGCGGATGTTGCCTAGTTGTCAACAATATATTATGAGACTTATCTGGAACCACTTTTATTGCCAAAACGAATACCTATTCTCAAGTTTGAAAAGATCGATCGAAAATATCTTTTATGTACGTGGACGTCGTATTGTAGTTCTCCGTTCTTTCAGAATACAGAAACTGTCTTAACACATCTCATTTGACAAAAAGCGTTTCAGCGGCCAACAAATGGACTCCATCATGATAGTTCGTGATCGTAGTTAGTCGATAAACACGGGTACACGGATGAATTTATTTCATGAATGGTTTCAAGCACTCAGAAATTAGAATGAAAAGAGTACAAAGGAAATAAGGAAATTTGAAAAAGGCGAGTTAGCTAACTGTCCTACTTCGAAGCAAGGACTAAGTATTAACTTTCATGCAATGATAAACTAGACATGTGTTCCATGAGTGAGCATCCAAATATAATCAAACTTACCGTGATAGACACTGTAATCAAATTATCACAAAGATAAAATAAGATAAGATATAAGATAAAATAAAGTTATCGAATAATATAAAAGACAAATTTCTTAACTGATCATGATCAATAAATATTTTCGTGCTGTATTGTGTAATAAGACATCACAGGACTCAAATAATAATAATCCGATACTTCTTTTGTATGTGACCGGATGGAATGTTTCGTTAAGTCACGTTCTGACATAAACCATTGCGAAATCTGTATTATGTATTGTTATATTAATAACTATTATAATTAAGATTTCATTTACTTTTCAAAGTCGATCTATTCATTTCTGACTTAGAAAATCAGCGATTATTTAGAAAAATATGCATTGAATATTATGTCATTATATTGATATGATTTCATATTCAAAACAGGCTGGCTGTGATTCGCAGTCGTACAATTATATGAAATGCATCAGTTGTTCGCTAGTTAGCAACATCCATAGTTCGAATTTTATAGGTTTACATTCAGCTCATTTTCAACATGTCAGAATAAAATTTTTTATTTAAACAAGTGAAATGAGTTTTTTTGTAAAACAAATTGTCTGAACTGCTACTCATACACTACATCACTCCCTGATTCTCTATTCATTTGTCGAAAAAATGGTCCAACATATTTCTGGATAATTTTGAGACTGATTAAAGTGACGTATGGACAATTTTCTTTTCTTGTATAGCATCGGTAGGGCCATGTGCTTGTTAATAAACACAATGTCATTTCCAAGTTGTTCTTCGTTAGCCCAGTCAAATCTAATCACAAACATTTCTTTATTCTTATGTAAATAACACTTCATTGATTTGTATTTTAATTTGTAGATCAATTGGTTTCGCGATAGCGATAGTGATTGGAGTTGTGAAGAAGTTCACTGAAAATTATGCTCTGAACGTTGCTTTCGTGATTGTTTATGTAAGAATCACTGACAAGTGTTGAATAATAAATACTGTTTAACTGTTTTGTTTTAGAGTAGGATGATCGCAAAATCGACAGTTACTGTTTTCAGCTTTTCAACTGCTTTTAAACTTTGCATGCTAGTTGCCTAACAAAACAAACTATGAAACTCTCTACGTTAGACACCAAAAATGTTTATTATACCTTATTCTTTACCTCTTTTCTCACTAAAAAACATAGTCGATCTGCAGAGATATGCAAATCAAGAGTTTAAGACTCTGTTTGTGTAAGGAGCAGTGATTGATCCCAGACAACTTTAGTTCACTGAAAAGAAACAAAGATATATTCTTTGAATCCACCTATCTAACTCGGTTTTATTTAGAAAGGGAAACAATCTTGTTTATCATCGACTTTATCCAACTTTCAGCGAATGGTTTACGGATGAATAAAATGATATGATATTTATTGCGTTGATTGGATGCGGTCGGACAAGACATTAGGTAGTGAATATTATGAAACCGATTCAGATGATAGTTTGCAAAAATTTTGTTTGAATTATTTATCTTGATTTAAATATGAGATTTGAACAGTGACATGTTGATTTTCGAAATATTTTGTAGGAGTCGATAAAATTTCCATTAGTTTAAATATTTATTTCACTAAAGCTGTAGAAGCCTAATCTTGTCAAATGAAGTAAGAATTGTGTGTACATCAGCAACTTGTCTAAAAGTTTGCCATAACGTGACTGCAAGCTGCAGTATAAAATTATCATTTGGTAATTATTTCCGTTTTCACGTTATCGTTTTATTAAACTTTGCATTTGAAATAACATCTGTTGGAAGTTGGAAAAGTGGTGTTTGACGAAGCATCTGTTCTTCAGTTTTTCAAATCAGGCACGCAACTGAATAGCGTTTTCGGAGAAAATGTCCTCTATTGATATAGAGTTGTCCGCTTAAGAAACCAAATAGTTACTTATCTTCATGTTAATAATGCACAGACAGTAATCAACATAAATGTTCATATATAACCAAGTATTCAGGAAAAAGTAAGTTCAAAATTTCACATTCATTCCTTATTTCAGTCAACATGTATGGCTATGGTGCTTGGCATTTCCAATACAGTGTTAAGTCCTGTTACTACTTTTGTCATCTTCGTAATCAGTTTGGTAATCTTCACGTCTGCGTTGCTGATTGGTGCAGCAATCCAGACACGTTTAGTGGATAAATCAAGAGATATCATTTTATCATTTGGTGTCATATGGTGTGTCATTGTGATCATTTCGATCATAGTAAACTCTGTGCGAAAAAAGGTACCGACATAATTAAAATTATTCGCCTAATTTGATATATCATTGATTGTTAAATATAGAATTCATTTGTGAAATGTGTAAAACGCACTAATTCATTTCTTTGTGTAATGAGGTGTCTGAATCATACAGTTCGGATTTATGTTCAGTATTAAAAAAACACGGACCTTGGAATTCTGAAAGGATGTAATTTATTAAATGTCAAAAATTTTAGGTAAGCTAGCTATTTCAGTGTAAAGTACGTGCAGACATAATGTATTAGTTTCCCGGTGACTAAAGTCATGTTATTTCGAGTCTTTCGTAAAGGCTTGTTCTCAACTAAACTCTGACGTTGGCATATGTGGACACGAACCACCACCATGTTGGCAGGCTCAATAAACTCTCATGTAGAAGAAATTTCGACGAAAGAAACCAAATTAGATAGAAACATTCATGTGCTATGTTCTCAAAACCATTTAACAAAGGAATACGCATCACAATTAATATTAAAAGAACCACAAATTTGCGCTTCCAGTACGTTGATGTTTTATTATCAAATTGGTTGCTACTTCCTTAAATGACAGATGATCATCTTCATGTAGTTTAGCATGTTCAGTCCTATAAGAATACAGGAAATCATGTTCATAACCCATAGTTTGAGATAAAATTATGTTTGATCGTCATCAATATAGGGAAACATCACAGCATCTATGGTATTTATTAATTTAAATATAAATTAAATTTATTAATTTTAAACCATATACTTTGTATTACAAAAAAGATCACAGAGTAATGGATAGAGGGAATCTATGAAGATATCTGAAGCTCGTACATGTGGACGTGATCGACCATTATGAAGACAAGATAATCAAATGTGTCAGAATTCCCAAGATTAGGTATCTGAAATATTAAATTCTGACTGTCTAAATCATTCATACCATGCTACACTGTAGCATGAGCACGTCGACTGAATATCAAATATTTTTGAGTGCGTAATTTCAAACTGATCTATAAAACACTTTTCGAACATGGCAGCTCGTAAACATCAGATCAGAGTCAATCACTGTGAAATAAATACACAGTTTTCGTTTGTTAATTGTTTTTATCGATAAAATGGTTCCGTCTTGCGAATGTTGTATTAAAGTAATAAACCCCATGTAAACGACATTCGACATGAATTCATGTGTACGAACTACAAATAGTTGTTGAGAGAACAAACGGTCTTTTTCCGTATAACTGTGACTCATTCCTAGATTCACTTTTGACGTTCTCTAATCAGGTATCTGCATAATTTCAGTATTAAATAAACTACAACTAAGCGTATGAAACGTGCGAACAGTTTTCGCAGTGAATAAACACTCTGTTAGCAGAAATGTGAATTGACTACTCTTTTCATTCAGATGTTTAATGAAGTCACAAATCCCAGGTTTCGCCATAAATGTTGAATAGAAGAAACTGGACATAGTGAATGGTTGATTTATCCTTTATATAAAACGAATATATCATAATTGTCTTATTGCACACTTGTAATCTAGTCGTATATTCATATTTTCCAGTGCAAAATATTCTATAGGCTGCGAATAGGACCACTGCTTGAACATGGCGCAGTAAATGATTTCATTTTACAGGAATTTTACTAATTACTTTACTTTATTCAGCGAATATCAGCCATTGTAAATGAGATTTGATACAGTGTTACCTTTTCTGTTCAAACTTATTATATGTATGTTTCATTGATTTCACAGACAACAATATTTGCAAGTCACTTGACAGTTGGAAAAGCACGATATCTTCTCTTCTATCCAATTTATGCATTGGCATCAGTATTTTTGTACACAATGTTTTATTTGATATTCTATCAGTCAATAATGCTGGGTTCAGCAATATGTTTTCACAGAATGTCAATGTATTGTTTGGAGAATTTTTCATTAGAATGTGTTCGAAAGTGTTCAATTAACTGGTTTCCTGAAGAAAGATGATCAGTACACAACGATGATTACATTATATACTGCTATTTTCATATCCATGTTTAACTTCTAACCTCGGAACGACTGGTATTTTTGATTTGACGCGTGATTAACTGCAAATTTGTGTAAAATGGTAGGAAACACATGGAATTGTATTCTAACTGTAATCAAAATTACATGATGTACAGAATGATGTCCTCCTTGATTTACCATTTTTTTGATCGAATCAAAACAAACAAACGTAATATCATGTTATTACACATGTCAAGTAATAATCAGTATATTAACGGTTCTTTGTTATCGTTATTATATGTTGTCGGTAAGCAGTTGTTGATTGAGTGACGCGATAAAACATGAAACTAATATCCAAAATTAGAAGGCAATAGATAAGAAGAAAGGCTGTTTGTCTAACGAGTATCCTGTAGAAGTACCAGTAGATGCATATGCTAGGAAGAATAAACACATAATTATTGCAAGGTTGATAAATAATAAATTGTTCAATATCATGTTACATTATCTTAGGAGTTCTGCTTCGAAAATTCATGAAGAAGCACAAGTTGAACAAATGTAACTGCCATTTAGAGCGTTAAACAATTACTCATAATTATTGAGTATAGTGTACAGTATCGTTTCAAACGCATTATCGGTTTGCGCGGATCAAATATTACTTCAGTATTTTTTCTTAACGAATTTTCATCACTTCCATTTCTTTCAGAATATGAATCACGAAATAATCAATATAGTGTCTAACTTATGAGCGAGGTCACTTATCAGGAGGAATTAACTATTGTACTAGTGTATAGACGTAATCGATTGGTTTCAGATACATATTGAAGACATAACGCAGGAATCCCCGAAAGCGATGATTGCTCATATATTTCTTTACGATCAGTCACGATCAAGTGGATTTGTGTCGAATGCCTTATTTTTCGTATAACGGTCTATTCAAATTAGTGGAATTTACAGAGGTCGTCGTTATTGTTAAGCATGTTAAGAGTAAATGGAAAACTGATTATTATACTATCACTTTTATAGTTGATAATGTCGAACTTGCAACAGGCTTCTTAAGTGGTATGATGTATGAGATAAGTATGATAAGTACCAGTTTCCAGAGAGCGTTACAGAATGTGGGAGTGAAAGATGGAGAACGTAGACTCAGATGAAGTATTGGTTTATCAGGCAAAGCACATTTGAGTAGAAAAGGTAGAATCGTGTCTATGTCATCACTGTTTTTCAGACGGAAATGTTGACATTTTCACCGGTTGCTAGATAACAAAAGGTAAAAACGTTTATTATAATACTTGTTGCAATTGACTTTGAACCTCGATAGTATTTGATTATGCAGAATACTGTAAACATAAACAACAAACAGTTGATTAGAATCATTTATTATATAAAGCCCGTTAGTGTGATGCATATTTCGTGCTTTTTGTAAGTCTTTCACCGTAGAACGACTGCAGTGATGAACATAAATCGAACAATTCGAATCAGTATTTAAAATGATCAAATGTGAAGGTGAGTAAGCTATAATTTTGTCGAATAAATATATGGTTATATTCTGTTCATAGAAGCCTCCTGCACTCCAAATGCTAGCCTACATTCATCTACGCTACTGATGAAAATCGAGGTTACATTTCGGGAAGTTCATCAGTATTTATACCGATCTATGTTTTGTCCGTGAATTTTACCAATCTTTCGGATACTCTAGTGTTCGCGCATAGATCGCTTTATGATATCCAGAGACCAGAAGGAC